ACGTTTTGGATTTGTTCAATTTGATGTTATGAAACCTTAAATTTTATTAAAGTTTATATTTTCAATTTAAATATTTCCGCTTTATGTATGATTATGAAATGATATTGGTAATACCCCAGGATTTAAGTCATTAAAATTTGGGGCGTTACAGTTGGTATTTACAGAAGTCAAAAACGTGAAATTCTCTGTCCAATCGGATGACCTCTACCGGACATTTGCCATTGTACTGGACGACTGAACTAGCTGTTGGGAGTCAGAAATCAGAAAGGTCAAAAATTTGACCGTTGAGCTACCGGACGTCCGCCAAACCGAAGCTCTTTGATTTTCTCTTTTCCTTGGTTATTTTGCAAACGTAAATCATTTATGAACATTTTCACTTAACTTTTTCAAATCAAGTGTCATTGAAAAAGAGTTCAAAAATCAAGTGAAGGTTTTTGTCAAAAATAATTTTTATGCGAGTGTTTTTGTGCAAAATTTGTTTCGTGCAAAAAAGATTAATTTCCGAGCTTGTAGTGATTCATTGCCGTGAATTAATGTGTTTTACCTTTACATATGAATTTGAATTATCTAAGTCTAATATCTTCGATAGATTTGTCGAGAGTGCACGTTTTGTTGCTTGATTTTCAATTGGGTGCAACTACTTGATTTGTCTTTGATTGTTCATTATGCAAGTGCTTGATTTCCAAGTTCAATCGTGCATGCTCGATTTCCACTCGGTTCGTAACATGTATTGTTGAAGACTCAAAAATAAAAATGTTAGATATAAGAATAATTTGTTTGCTACAATCAAAACTCAAAGTAAACCATAGGTCAACAAAAAGTCCCCGACAACGGTGCCAAAAAATTGTTGGGTTTTTTATATCGCAAGTGTACGATATCGTAACAAGAAATATAGTGGACATTTGAGTCCAAATATCGTTCCCATAATGACTAAACTTTAGGACTTAATTTAATTTTTCTAACTCCAATTTGATAAAAACAAGTACAGAATTATAATAATTGGGATTATTATTACTATTTTTAACTACTTGAAAATATCAAATTTTGTAAACAACGGTTGATTGAAGATTCAAATATGAGATAAATATTAGGGCATAACAATTTCATCTATTGATTATCTTAATTCTTAATTCAAGATT